GCGGGGGACTGCAGCCCGCAGAGCCCTGCGGCGGGGTGCAGGGGGGACTGCAACGCACCCCCTACATCTCCGTGTCCCTGCCAGCCACCTCTCCACTCCCCCCATGCCCTTGAACCTCTCTGCACCCCTTTTCCCACAGCACGGGGGCAGATCGGGGTGCGGTACCCGGGGTTTGGGATGAACATGGGACCACGAAGCCTCTGCAAAGCAGCGGCCGCACCGGCACCCGTTCCCCTTTGCCGCGGGCTGGGTTTTCTCAATGAAGGGTGGCCCGGCCCCCAGCGTAGCCGCAGCGGACAGTTTCACAATGTATTTTGGTCAGTGCTTACAAGAAGAGGCCACGGGGAGGGCTGCGGCGGAGGGGGGGGATTCCAGTAAATGGCCTGTGAGCCTTCCTCATTCTCGAGAATAGGAAACTGCTTGACTTCTCCATGGGGTTTCGCTTTCCGTGCGGGGAGGCGAGAGGCCAAACTGCTCCGCTTGACCATCGCCGTGCCGCAGCCAGGGGACTGAAAAAGCAGGGGAAGAGAAAAAGTCATCGGTGTGTTTGCTGCGCGTCTTGGGTGCAAAGAAATCTCCTTTTTTTTTTTTGTTAATAGGAAAGCAGAGCGGGGGAATCACAAAACGCCATGAGTTACGTCTCCCACCAGCCTGTTTCAGGGATGCAGGTGTCCCTGCCCAGGGCAGGGGGGTTGGAATTAGATGATTTTTAAGGTCCCTTCCAATTCTAACCCTTCTATGGTTCTACGCTCGGGGCAGCCGAGTGATACTGTCCCCCAGACAGCTGTCTTTGGGGACAGCGTGATGCCGAGGTCATGGCAGTAACCTGCCCCATCCGTCACCCCCTCCATCCCCTCGGCCACCTCCTTTCCCCGGCACACGTGGATGCTGCAGCGGGATGGTGGTCCCCGAAGGGCGGCTGGGGGCCGAGAGAGGGGTGGGCAGGAGCTGGTAAAAATAGCACCCAGGTGCCCTCTGCCCCAGAAGCGATTTCTCGTTCAGTAAACAGGAAATCTATTCTTAGGCCCATTCATGAGCCGCGGGCTGACGGCAGCTCCCCGCTCCGGGCTTGTTTTGTTCCTCGCTGACACAGGGGTGACGCCGAGGCAGAAGGCCACCACGCAGAACCTTCCAGCCCTGCGGGCTTCCCCTTGGCTCGCTTTTTTCCCCCTCAGCAGCATCCTGCGCTCTCCGGCTTTTCCAGGGGTGTTGGGGGTTCCCTTTCACACGAGGCGGTGGTGGGAGGGGAGAGCAGTTTTGGGGTGTTTCTGGAAACCCCCGTGCTGTTTGCTTCTGGGCTCGGCCCTGTGCTGGGTGGCACCTTGAGGGGGAATTGCTTTGGCAGAGTTCTCCCCCCACCCCCGACAGCTAGCTCCTCTCCCCTTTCCTTGATGCTATCTCTCAAGTTGGAGGAGATAAAACCACCACAGTTTGCCCTTTCCTGGGATGAGCTGGGCTGGGTATATCGAGGGAGGAGGACGATGCTCACAGCTTTCTCCCGGCTCCCCGAAGCCCCCCCGAGTAGCGATGGCTGAGGCTCATCTTTGCTCCCCATCCTTTGCCGAGTTTTGTCCCCATGTGCAGTATCAGGCTCCGACTCGCTTCCCTTCCCACTCTCCATGGATCCGTTCAGCCCGTGACACCCCTGGGCCCTGCCCGAGGCTGCCATGCTTCTGGCTGGTGGGCTGGAGCTGCTGCGGGATCCCGGTGCAGGCAGCAATCCCTGTCTGCTGGGGACAGCCATCCCTGCCTGCCGGGGACCGCGGGCTCCCCCAGCTCCCTGCATGGAGCTCCCGCATCCCACAGCTCAGAAGCGGCACCTTCTGCCTGAGCAACATTTTTGGGGAGCTTAGAGAAGATGCAGAGAGAGAAACGTGGGGCTGCAGCCTGCAGCACTGTGTGAAAGGAGCAGGGGTGCTCATTATGCTGATGATGGAGAAGGGAATTCCCTCTGTATCTGCCCAGCATCGCTGCCCTGCACCACCTGCGTGCGCCCAGCCTTGTCCCAGAGCATCGCCCCCCCAGGAAACGGGTGACCGAGAGAGGTACAAGGGTGGAAGGTGCTTGTGGGCAGGATGGGGTGCAGGGAAAGTCCGGGATGGGCAGGAGCGCAGGCTGGCTCGGCGACACAGGCTGGGGGTGGCTGTGGTTAAGGGATACCCCCACACCATGGGATCGAAGCAGTGCGAGGCCAGGGGCTGTGACAGGCTGGGAGAGGGACACCCTAAATCCAGCAGGAGGGTCCCTGAGCCCGGTGAGGGCGATGTACGAGCTGGGTCTCTGCAGCGTGTCAGACCGGGGCTGGTTACAGATAAGGCAACGTGGGACCCCGGTAACAATCCCATCGGGCGCTCTGGAAAACACACCCCCAAAAAAGCCTCCTCGGAGGGCACACGGGGGTTGCAGGTAGGATTTATCACAGCAGTCCCAATTCCATAGATGCTTTCACAAAACGGGGCATCCCCCACACCCACCCTGCACCGTCCACCGCCGGCGCCGGGCTCGGAGGAAGGCTGAGGCGTTGCTGCCCTCGGGCGGCAGTCGGTGGCGCGGCACAGCAGGTCCCGGGGCCCCGGTTGGTAGCCCGCAGGCTCCCCAAAACCCCCTGGCTCTCCCTCCACCTCAAGGCTCGGGTACCTCCATCGTCTCCGTGCAGTGCGGAGAGCAAGAAGGGAGGAGAAGGGGGATCTGGCTTGTCCGCGCGGTGGCAAACGTGCCCCCCCCCAGCCTTGCCCTTTTCGTGATGAGAAACCCAACTGCAGAGAGGTCGGGGATCCGCCTGAAGCCAGGCGCGGGCAGGATGGGCAGGGGGAGGTTTGACCCACCAGGCAGCCCAGGAGGTGGGGATAGCCTCATTCAGCTTCGTTGCAGGAGTCCGCATCCTCGTCCTCCTCCGGGTGTGCGATCCCTGCGGCGGAGCGTGCCATGGCCCTCATCCAGCGCCGCTTCAGCTCCTCCGTGTCGGCTACGAAGGTGTAGACCTGCCGGGACTGCGCCAGCTGGAAGAGGTGGCGGGAGTCGCCCTGGGGCAGGTCCCTCACCTGGTAGCCCAGCAGTGGGATGGAGGTGTGGGCGCGGACGTCCTGCCAAGAGCAGAGAGAGCAGTGGGAGGCAGGGGGCAGCCACACCGGGATGTCCCTTGCAGATGGAGCCGAGCTCGGCCTTACCTGGGGGGCTGCGTAGATGTACAGCACGAGGGGATCATCCTGCGGGATCACGAACCAGCCCCGTGTGCTCCCTTTGCCGTTCTTGTCCAGCAGCTGCAGGGAACTGCACAGCACACTCCTGCCTGATACCTCTGCAGCTCCTTTCTGCCAAAAAAACAGCAAAGAAATCCCTAAATACCCCGTGTGGGAGACAGAAAGGGCACTGAGCGAAGGTAATTTCCTGGGGAATTCCCTGCCCTCAAACCAGGGGCAGGCGAGGGGCGGTCCTGGCTGTGAAGGTCCCGCCGAGATCCCGTGGCGGAGGGAGCCCTGGCTGCCTGGTCCCCAGGGTCACGGGGTGGGACGGAGGGGGCTTAGCACATCCACCGGCCTCGCAATTTGCAGGCACCCTCCCACCCCTCCTGCTGCAGGCACACAGCCAAGCTGTGACAGCAGGGCTGGGGACCGGCGTGGGTGGCAGAGCTCGGAGGAAGAGGGACAGAAGAGCAGGGCAGGGGGAGGACGGGCAGCGCTCACCTCCATGCTGCCTTTGTGCTTCTCCTCCCGGTCCTCGAGCACCACGTGGCCCGTCAGGAAGACGTAACACTCCTGGCACACGCGGTTCAGGCGGTTCCCATCATACTGCAGCTCGGCCTTGTAGTCAGAGCAGCGAGCGCACACCACCTACAACCACCAGACGGGGACACCGGTGAGACTGGGGCAGGGCTGGGGGATCTCACGGACAATCCATGAGGAGCTGAGGGGCAGGAGCCAGGGAAAGGGGTACTCGGGGCTCCTGCCCCAGCGGCCACCTGAGCAGGGCAGGAGGGAGGGAGGGGAGGGGGGACAGGGCGACTCACGTATCCACAAGCTCGGCAGTGGTGTCTCCGGCGCATGATGGCGTTGAAGGGCTCCTTGCAGCGCATGCACATGGTCACCAGGTTGTCCCGTACCCACTGTGGAGCTCGGCGACCCAGCTCCTCCGTCTGGGGGTGGGAGATGGCATTGCTGGGGCTAGCTAGCCATGGTCCGGGTAGTCCCAGCCCCTCTGTTCTCACCTTTCTCCTCCCCAGCCCTTCCCCACTGTCTGCAGCTTCCCCCCCCAGCTCTGTTTAGCTAGGGAAACTGAGGCACAGCAAGGTGGCATCTCCCTGAGCTTCCGTGCAGGGGAGTGCTGGAGGCAGCAAGGCATGGGGAGGGCAGGAGGGTTACCTTCAACGCAGAGGTGCCTGACTCCAGCCCATGCACTGCTGTCTTAAAAGTCTCGCTCCTCTTCTCCTTTCTGTCAATGGCATCTCGGAAGGCCTAAAGGGGAAGGCAGGGCTGGAGGGGCAGTTGGGGGGCTGCCCCTGACACAGGCAGCAGGGGATCAGCCCGGTTTGTGGCTCAGGCATCCAAGCTGGGGCGAGTGAGATGTGCTGCTTCTCCCAGCACTCAGTGGTACCTTGATCCAGGCGCTCATCTCCTCCTCAGACCTGGTACAAAACAGGAATTGGATGAGCTGGTGGCCCTCCTCCTCGAGAGGGTCTGCAGGACTGTCGCCCTTCGCCTTACCTAGCTTGCAGCTCCAGCGTCCGCTGCTTTCCCGAGACCAGGAAGGTGTGAGGGAACTGTGTGTCATTCAGCTCCCGCACCTGAGAGAGACCAAAAGAAAGGATGTGGAGAAGTTGAACCCACATCCAGCTCACAGGGATCTTCCTGTGGGGGACAGGGATTTCCCTCAGGCCCAAGCCCTTCAGCCCCTCAAATCCAATGTGCATGAGTTTGCACGGCAATCTCACAGCATCAGAGGATATTAATCAGTCCTCCTCACCCACAAAGCCATCCCTTCCGAGGAACTGCAGGCCAGCAGCCACATTAGACCCAGAGCAGTGTGCATTTTAGGGGAGCCAGGGTCCAGGGGAAGCACAAAGACAAGGTGCCTCTCTGACCTTCATGCCATCCACGTTGATGCGGAGGTGGACCTGGAACTCGGCGCCCACCTGGATGACCTTGGGCACGCAGTACAGCAGCATGTTGTTGAACTGGGCACGGGAGAGGAGGAGAGGGTTGGTTGGAGCCCAGTACTTTCCTGCTCAGAGTTGGGGGCTTCCCTGGGATCCAGGGTCCTTCACCACCCTGGGGCTGAGCTGATCCTTGGGAAGAGTCCAGCCTAAAAAGTGACTGACCCCAGCCCTCTCCCACCCTGCACAGGCAAAGCACTCTTGGAGTGTGATGTGCCCATGGGATAAGCAGGTTCCCAACCACATCCTATAAAGGGTGACCTGTACCAAGGGGCTCAAACCCCCCAGCTCTGATTTCACCCACTCTGTGTAGAGATAACCCAGCAACACCCCGGCCAGGCTGCGCTGCCCCTCTCCCCATTCCTATCCTATCTGCCCCCTGCCCCTTCCCCTGGGCATCCCAGTTCCCACCAGGAACAGGTACTTCTCCGATGTGCTGTTGTTACGGGTGGAGATTTTTTGGATCGGTCCCTCCTTGATCAGCTCGTTGGAGGGATCCACAATGTCGTCCTCAAGACCCAGCCGCTGATAGACCGCCCAGAGGTTCTGCAACCGTTCCTGGGGGAAGGCAGAAGGACCCATTTCTGTGGGGAGCTGAGCAGCCACAACCTTGTCACCCTTGGGTCCCCTCTATCCCCACCTCCCATGCCAGTACCAGGAGAGGTGGCACAGCTTTGAGAGTAGCTCCCAGCCTTGAAACAGCCATCACGGCTGATGTTGCACACATGACTTCCCCAGGCTCGAGGCGACTGCATCAGGCATCAAGAGCAGGGTCTGACCTCCTCTGC